CAAATAAAACGAAATGCATAAAGTTTGTATTACCTAATGTGAGGCATGTCAGTACACTTATAAATGTAAATAGTGAAAAAGTTGAGTTAGTAGAATCGACAAAGTTCCTTGGTATTACACTAGATTCCCGACTGCAATGGGATCCTCATATTGATAGCTTGTCAAGTAGACTGAGTTCTGCAGCTTTTGCTGTTAAGAAAATTAGACTCTTGACAAATGTTGAAACGGCAAGATTGGTATATTTTAGTTATTTTCATAGTGTAATGACGTATGGTATATTGTTATGGGGTTCTGCGGCTAGCATTCAGGATGTTTTTATTTTACAAAAGAGAGCTGTCCGTGCTATATATAATTTACGGTCTAGGGAATCTCTAAGAGAAATATTTAAAGAAATAAATATTCTGACTGTTGCCTCTCAATACATCTATGAGAATATTATGTATACAAGAAAACATTACGGTTCCTTCACAAAAAAAAGTAGTGTTCATAATCTTAACACAAGAAATAAAGATAAACTTGCCGTTCCAAGCTTCAGACTTCAAAAAACCAGAGGATCATTTCTGGGTAAATGTATTGCTATGTTCAATAAAGTTCCACAAAATGTAATTGACCTACCCATAAATAAATTTCAAATTCATGTAAAGAATATACTTGTGAGTAAAGGCTATTATAAAGTTGATGATTATTTTAAGGATCGCAATGCATGGAATTAATAGCCTTCGCTTTGTTCTATAAAGACTAATTATATGTTCAACTTATGTCCTACAGACTTTGAAAGTTGTATTTACTATTGTGATAAATTGATAATACATATTATTTTGGTAATGACATGATTTATGTAACTGTCATTACTTATGATAAAAAGCTGATAAGTTTCTTTCGCTTGTTCTTCTTGTCAGCTAAAAGACGTCCTGAACAAGTGGTAGGGGAAAAAAGTTTTTTGGACGATTCAAAAGTGCTTGTAATAGCCTACTTGAATAAAGATATTTTCATTTCAGATATTTTCATTTCATTTCATTTCATTTCATTTCATTTCAATCCCTATTTGAATTACTCATTCCATATTTAATAACAATGAAGAATGTTAACAATTTTTTTTTATTAGCACTCCATATTCTCTGTCAAAAATAAAAAATACTAGTGAAAGAATTACTTCGATACGACAATTAGTTTCCGATTTAGAAGTAAAACAAGTTGTAACCGCACGACGCGGGCTGCCGGTGACGGTGTGACGTCATTGCACAACACGCTCAGTCTGGCTCACATAGTCCGCTCGCAGTCGCGCGCCCGTGCCGTCGAAATTTTACCTAAATACTTTTAAAAATGTCCAATCCAAATACTAGGAAATCATGTGTTGAGCCTAAATGTAAAAATACAACTACTAATTCGCCGGGAAAAGTGTTTTTATAGACATCTTTATGATAAAAAGACATCTTTTCAACCTCTTTTTTTTCACATATAAAATGTGAAAGAGAACACTGTATTTGAAGCTCTCTAAGTTTTAATGCTACTTTGTCAAAAAAAAATTCATTCTGACCGAAGTGTCTAAATGAAGTGTTATACCACTTGTGCCAAAATCTTTAGCTTTAATCATTTTCAGTGTCGCACCAACACCTGAGAGCTTAGATTTTTTTCAATTTCGACGATGTAGCCACATTAAAAATGCTACAGTATGTTTACAGCCACCTCTGCTGGCGGCACAATCTTCGCAGTTTACATTTAATACTTCTTGATCCTTTTCATTGCATTCTAAACTGCAATGATAAGGTGTGGTACGTACGCGGTGTTCTGGCGTGATTCTACATATACATCACCTACTCTTTTAACTTGAACATAACCAATAGCATCATTGCCATAGCTGTTTCTTGCCGATCTGAAATAAGTTTCAAATAAAAATAAATAGCCTTAAGTATTTTGTTAGTAAAATAATACTAATAAATAAATAAGGTTTAGTACATCTGTTCAAACTTCTATATTTGCAACAAAAAAATAATTTAATAAAATGGCCTTAAGTATTTTGTTAGTAAAAAAATACTAATAAATAAAACAGGTTTAGTACATCTGTTCAAACTTCTATATTTGCAAAAAAAAAAATAATTTAATAAAATGGCCTTACGTATTTTGTTAGTAAAAAAAAAATACAAATAAAAAAGGTTTAGAACATCTGTATCCACAACATCTACATCCTAGGTACCTACCCTACTTCCTACTTATATTATAAATACGAAAGTTTGTGTGTGTGTTTGTTTTTTATCTTTCACGCAAAAACTACTGAACAGATCTGGACGAAGTCTGTAATAATAACACTTAGGCTACTTTTAATCCTGGGAAAATGTACAGCTCCCGAGGGAATCGTGGGCGAAGCTGCTGGCGGAAGCTAGTTTGCAATAAATCAATGTATGTATTTGTTTAAATTTACTAAGAGCGGTACCTATATATACATACGTACCTACCTATAGCTACAAAACTATAATACATATTTGTCTTTAACGTAAAAATTTAATGGTAGGTAGGTACTTCTAATATTTGAGTTGCATTCTTCCATTACGACATTAGTTGCGTATTTTGTTTTGATAAAACAATTTAGAACAGATAAACTATTAAGCATCAATAATAGCAAGAAAGTTTACTTACCTATGCATTTTTATTCCTCGCATTTCGGCGGCAACGAAATTATTATTTGTTAATAAATAATGCGCAACTTTTAATCCATCTATTTTAGGTAGATTATCCGATTGCCCTTTTTCGAATCCTTTGTCTATTTTTTTAATCGAATAATATTTAATATTATTAGACTATTAACTTTATACACGGGCGAAAACACAACAAAATACTGCGCAAGCTATTATATCTACTATAACCGCTGGCGACTTGATACTAAGCGGGGCGCGGCGCGTTGTGACATGACGTCACAAGCGGTCACGTGGCTGTTAGCGGGATTCGATATTTTTCGAAACTTTGAATGCATATAAAATCAAAATTACTAGGTATTTTTGACTACAACAAAAACTAGTGTATTTGTATACATAAGGGCTTTATTGAGACAAAATTTCAAGCGATTTGGCATACCTAGTAACATTCTTCATTATTAATAAAATTTTATGTTTAAATTTATATGTTACAACATATGATTTTTTACGAACTGAGATCCATAAAGAGCATATTTGATGAGTCAAAATTTAAAATTACGATAGACGAATAATAAAAAGAAACGATGTTGAATATCAAAGACAAAAAGTTTGCATGCTGAAACCTGGGAAAATAAACGGTGGTACGGCACACCGTTACACACCTGAGGGCATATTCTATTTGTTATCTAATGAAAATTCGGAGAATTCATATAATTTTTTTAAAATCATATTCGCGAAAAATATCTGTGCATCAGAGGTAGTGTCATATTAATTTAAAAATGTGTTTCTTTTTTAATGACTTCGGTGGTGAAAAAAATAAAATGTTTACATATATATTAAAAATAATAAAAATAAAAAAGTTTTGTTTTTTAGCATATTACTCTTCAATTTTCCACTTACCTCTTTTCAATGACAACCATCTTCGAACTTAAACGGATATATTAAAAATATTAGATTAGAGGGATTGATTCAGGCGTTGTTCTTTGAGTCTAAGATAACATTTAAGCTATGAATTTTTATTTAGGTACTAATGTATTTCACCCCGATTTCAGAGTACATTATAGATAATGAGGGGTTTATAATGATAATAATCGTTTATATTAAAAACATTACATTATGTTTAATACTTGTCACACTATAATTAGAATTAAAATTAATATAAACTAATTACTGTAGACAAACAAAAATAATATTACTGTAGACAATATAATGAACGTTCTACGTACATTTCTTCATTGACAAATATAAGGAAAGCAAAAAATATTTTTATTATAAATTCTTTGCTTCTGGCGAAAAGTTTTCTGTACCTTATTTACACTTAAATATGGTTGAAATATTCCGTGTCGTAGAAAACTTATTCCACCGCAGGAAACATTCAAGTGCCTAGACGTAACCTGGTTTTCTCGTTTACCCGAAAATTTATATTAAGGCAGGTTTTACAAGATCCATTAGAAGCGTAAAATACTCGTGTTCCTAGCAACAACGTAGCATTATTTGTGGTAGAGTTCATTTTTAAAGGCGAGACCGTAACAATAACAATATTTCTGGTGATGCTTCAAATATTCATAACGCGATATTTTAACATTCTGCAGGAAACGTATTATGATGATAAATGTGTTTCATTAGGTATTTGAATTTACGACAGTGTTTGTCTTTCACATAATGTTTTACGTTGTAATGTTTAAATATATTTATTTGAGGATTATTAACGCTAGCAACAGGCGGCCGCAGCGAATTTCTGAGAATTCCCATTCCAATTTGTACGCTATTTTAATGATTCTGAAATACATCATTCGATGTCTAATTAGGTAATATTATTAGGTACTTAAAATTAATAAATTAAAGAATCTCAGCCACCATAAAATATTCACAAAACTCGTTTGTTTGAAAAGAAACATAAGTATGATATTTGACTTTTTGAAGATCTCCAGTGCCTCTAGGGGCAAATAGGGATGACGACTGGGCAAAAAAATGCAATTCCATTTAGTCCGTCAGTCAGATAATAGAAAAATATGAGATACGTATTTTTTTTTACTACAATTTAACTACTCGCTATGTCACAGTTTTGTAGAAAACGTTCTATAACATGACGTCATGCGAAATTTCAACTCCATGTATCCACGTAATTTTATGATTACGAAAAAAATACGTGGTAATATTTTTCAACACTCTACTTGACGGACAAACAAATAAAAATTACTCGTCATCCCTATTCAAGTGCGTTAGCACTCATTGCAAGCTTGAAGTTGACTAACCGTTGGTTTGTAGAACTTAAGATTCAGCAATAGCAGATCTTCTCGAAAAAAAGAATCATATTGCTTAACTTTATGTATACTCATAACAAATATTAAATGTAAGATTTCTTTTCAGATATAGGGATGATGTTCAAGAAGTTTCCACAATCAGTGGCTGCTCCCGTAGGAGATGAGGTGGCTTTCGAGTGCGTAGTGAATGTCCCTGGAGATAAATTAGCGTGGCGTTGGCGGCCTGTAGAGGACATACGGTGGCGAGACGCAAACGGTACCAACGACAAGACTTCCACCAGGCTTGTAGTCACTGTCAATGAAGATACGCCCACGTCCATGTATCAGGTCAGTTCCTAACGATAAAATATGTGGAACATTCTCTTTATTGTATTGCAGGACAATTCTCTTTATCTACCGAGATGCGATTTATAATTTTAAACATTAATAGATTTGGCCTTCAGTTATTGTTATTAAATTTCCTCGAATCTGACGATGAGCGTAGCGTTGATAGTGTCTCTACACTTTAAAACAAATAAAGTCTACTGGAAAAAGTTATAAAGGTTAAGTTTAATTGAAGCTTTATGCCGTGATAGAACTGAGCTTGATGTCAAATTCGAGGCTGTTTTTTTTACAGAATAGCAGAGCTAGACTTGCGTTGGCTAGCTTTTAAGATCGAAATTGGGCCGCTAATATTTTTTTTATCTCGTGTTTCTCTATGATTCTGAAGTACGTTAAATTATTGGTATCACCTACCATACTATTGGTCTCAGGCGTTAACTCCTACCAATTTGTTCAGAACTTGTGTGGAAGGTTAACAATCACCTCTTTGCCGTCTGTGACCTCACAAGATCCATGCTTCAATTGAAGAGATAACTAGCAATTATTTCATTGTTTCAGTGCGTTGTTTGGTATGGAGTTGTCAGCTTGGTGTCAGTTCCAGCTAGGCTGTCTATAGCGAGACTGGAACTGAATGGTTTGCGGCCTAACACGAGGGTTATAAGTGCACCTCCCCATAACACTCTTGTACTGCACTGCAGAAAACCTGTTTCGGAACCTCCTGCGGTTATCAACTGGTGGAAGGAAATAAGGGTATTTATTCTAATACGAAATAATATTATATTATAACTATCAAAATAAGTAAGTTGCTACTAATATGGTATATTCTGATTTGCATTTGGTAAATCTGTTGGTAATGTTGGCAAGGTTATAGAAAATTTTCCTCTTCAGGGTAATAGAAAGGCAATAGAAACTCCACATGGCGTTCTAGTAATACATAATGCTTCAGCAGAAGATTCTGGCACGTACGGTTGTTCGGCCACTAATGTGCCGTCTGATAAAACCGTGGATTTGCCGGAGAAGGTTCATCTAAAAGTAGAACGTAGTGCGAGTGGAGATATTAAGTAAGTATTATCTATCTTTAATAATTAAGTCAGAGTTTTATTATTGCTTATTTTAATATTAGAATGTGGCCGAGGGAACTTTTTATTAAAAAATGCAATGCTCTTTCGATTTTTGGCGCTTTCATTTGTCTTTAGAAGATCTCAGTTTCAGGATACCTAAAAAAGCACAAACTTAACCTTCTTATATATTTTTTTTTCTGTGTACAATGGCTTGTTTAAAATTTAATTGACGATGCAAGTTTATAATGGACGCTAAGAAATCACTGCCTTTAGTAACTTCTTTTTGCACATGCTTTCATGTATCTTAGTTAAGTCTGGTGTTTACTGTATTATAAACAGGTTCCTTGAAGCTGAAGAGTACGTCGGTACCATAGACAATGATGGAGTACTGACAGTATCGGTAAAACCTAGAGAAGCGTTGCGACTATGGTGTGGTGCTGTTGGGTCACCTCCACCACGAGTGACATGGAGTCGACAGAGAGGGACGCTGACTAGAGGCAAGCATAACCACACGTTGGTTATTGAGCCTTTTACGCCTGAGGATGAGGTGAGAAACAAGTTATAGCAATAATATTAAAAATCTTGAGGAAAAGTTGCTGTGAGCATGAATGAGGAAGGATATAAGAAGGATAAATACGAGAAATGAACTGGAGGGAATGTAAAGCATAGAATAAAAACGTCTTGCTTCTGAGTGGAGAATGGTAGGTACTCGACCATAGACTGTAAGGCCGGGCAAAAAAAGTTGAGGAAATCGATATCGCAGTGATTAGTATTCTCAATAAACTTTTAAACTTTTGCGTTGCATTACATTAGATTGCATTTGCGGAGGTTGTACAACTTTCGCAATGGTGGGTCATCAAACAGGTGATAATTGTTTTCTTAACTGGAATCAAATCAAATGTATTTATTTGGTACTCATACATAGGAGACTAAGGGACAATTAATTAAGAATTAAATACAACAGAAAACGAAAATATAGCAATCATAAGAAAATTTGTATACATATGTGTCTCTTTCTCTTTCTAAAAATTAAAAATAGACCGACGTTGGTTCTAGAGTTTTGAAAGTCGTTAGTATTCACCTATTGTGTAATGAACTACATCTTCAATTTCACCGTATTATAATTAACAGGATGTATATTCGTGCTCGGCTAATGGCATCCGTCGATCGTGGAAGGTGATAGCTCTACAAACTCCTTACTGGGAAGGCGAAGTCAGTAACGCGAATGCGACTGAAGGAGGAGAAGCACATATCACTTGCGGAGTGCCTCATGGACAACCGCCACCTAATATCACCTGGCTGTTAAACTCTGAGCCTGTTCAGAGCGCCAAGACGAATAGAACTGTTGGTAAGAACGACTGATTATTTATATGATGATATATTGAAGTGGCTTATGAGTTTTTGCTATTAAACGAATAATGGAGGATGGAAGATTAGTCTAATGAATATAGTAGAGGTAATTAATATGGAGAACACATTAAACATTTACATAAGGTACGAGAAAGAAAATATACTATCTTTTTTTAATACGAATAAAGTAAAGGAGTTTCTACATTAATATTAATCTTCATTTATTGTTCGCGTACTTTGCTTGATCCACGAACTAACTGATTTAATTGATAAATAAGAATCCGCGTCGATTTTAATATTGATTTATTTGCGAATTATATATATATACACTTGATACTTGCTGCGCGCGACAATGCCTTGATTGCACTGTTAATGTATAGAAAATGTGAATGAATATGTAAGTAAATGCTGACGCGGTAATATGCTTAATGTGCGGTATAAACCGTACATTTATATTATGACATTATTTACTGTCTTATTATAAAGTTAGTATGCGGTATAAACCATTGGCCGCATAAACTAAATTGATAATTATAGAAGAGAAAACGTAAGTTGAGATATGTATATTTATTAATTTGGTCAGATTATGGTTTAAATCTGCGGCCTAATTGTCTAATTTTAAAATGTATCTTTTTCCCTTTAAATTTGATATATTGACGAACTTCACGCTATGTGATAGCGTCGTGAAGTTTTTTTAAAGATATTATATGAACTATATCGTTAATTTAACGTTTATTGAAATCGTCTAAGGCAAGCGTTAGACGTAAATTCTATTAATATTATAAATGTGAAAGATTCTTTGTTTGGATGTTTGTTCGTCAATCACTCCGAAACTACTGAACGGATTTCAACGAAATTTGGTATGCAGATAGGGTAATAGGATACTTTTTATCCCACTAAACATTTCCCTAGGGACCACGCGGACGATAGCGATTGCGACTTCAAACGCTATCACATATATATCTATCACTGTCGTTATATCTCTGAAAGGAATTGCGATATATTAATTAAATTTTACTACCGGTTAGTATTTCGTATAAGATGTTGGTCGCCTAAAGCAAATTGTTAATGACGGTAAAAAACGTCAAATTAAGGTAAGTTGATTTATTTTGGTCGGATAATCTTTTTAGCGTACTTATAAATATATAAATAAGACGGTTAAGTTTTAAATATTAATTAACTAAACATTTTGTTCTACCGCAGGCGAAACAGAATTGTTCATTCGGCCGGTGGAGAAACGTCATGCGGGCGTCGTACAATGCTTCGCATGTAACTCACTTGGCTGCGCATACGATGCTGCGCTCCTGACTGTTGTGCCGATGCAGATATCCGACGATATGGTTTGTAATAACGGGAACACATTTAAATTTATATTAATAAAAACATTACTCTAAGCAGTTGATGCACTTAACATTACAATGTCGTTTACAACAGTTTTACGAGAATGACAACCCGGAAGTATCTTCTTCTTCTTTTTTAATTATTGGCATTTCCCTTTTGGATTTCGCCAGAATCCAGTGTTTTGCTCAGTATAAACCCGAAAGTATATTGGCGCGAAACCGATCAAACGTCAAAGTCAAAGTGACAGTGACAGCAAGGGATGCTCGTAGAGCAATCGATAAATAGTGCTGGCTGTAATAGTCGATCTTTTCTCACCTAACAATTTATTAAAATCATTTTTTCGATTGTGTAGAAAACTAGAGGAGTTATTTGAATATCGAAAATTTATTACTTCGAGTTGCTCCGTCTTCGGAAGCTAAGTTAAGCCGTCACTCCCGGCTTCTGTAGTCATTAACACTCATCAATCCGCACCTGGCACACGTGGTGTGATATGATCTGTTCTCCCATCCTGTTTGATTGATTCTTTCCATAGGGAAGGCCTATGTAGTAGCAGTGGGGATATTAATGGGCTGACGACGAAGAAGTGCTGGAAATAAAAGTAGCCCTTAAACAGTTGAAGGATAGAGTTTATTTTCATTATAAATATGTCGCGGTAGCAATGCGCAAGCATTAAACTACCCATTTTCATTCATAACCCTTTTTAAGCGATTGGTGTTACTTCAGCTTAAATTTAATGCGATGTAATCTTTTGTTATCTTTGACCGAGTTCCTATGATTGTTTGTTTCAGGATTACTCCGCGGAAGTACCCAAAACATTACATAATCCTTCGCAATCACCCAAAAGGCATTTTAGGAAGCCCCAAAGAAAACACAAAGGTAACTGAATATTGACCGGTCAAAATGTTGTACATCTATTAATTATATTTTATAAATTTATATTTATCTTATATCTAGATGCACGAACGTCCATTAAAATTGTCATTAGTTTAAAGCGAAATTATCGATACAAATTTGACATTAATTAGAGCTTATAGGCGTCATTAAACCTTAATGGACGTTTATGCAACTCACCAAAAAAACTTCTTCTTCGTATTATATTAATTAACGATACTTAACCATAGGAAAAAAAAATGCATACATGGTTTTGTTTTCCTGGACATATATTGACGGAATTTTCAATCATAATTTTGTATTGTTCTGGCAGTTGCGATGATACCTCCTTCTAAACCGAATGTGACGCGTCTATCTGACACGAGTGTCATGGTTTCTTGGACACACCCCAACCATGGCCTTCCTATACAGTTCTATAAGGTATGTGATTGACGATTGTATACAGAAGTTTGGTCCTACATTGAAATCACAGAAACTTAGTATCTAATCAGAAGAAAAAGCAAGATAATTACAGTGATCTTCCATTTCTAGAATCTTAGCTGATTAATGTAAAAACCGTGCCCAACATTTGTAACTGTTCTTAATTGTTAAGTACCTATTTCTCAACAGTATTTTTCATTATTATACGAACATTTGTCATATGTTTTTATCTTTTTTTGGATTTTTATAATCAATTTTTATATCAATATATTTAGATATATTTATAATAGGTACCCTGTAGTTTTAATTTCTAAAATTATAGATAACCCGAAAAGTACAGCTTTACCTTAACTATGGGATTTTTTTACTGTAATGATAGAAAAGGATAACATTATAGGTTCAATACAAAGAAGTATCGAACGTGAGCGATATGTCATGGCAGACTGGGATCTGGGATATATTGCCTCGCATCCACGCGTGCGAAGTTGACACGCTGCACCCGAATATTTATTACAAGTAAGTAAGGCTTAGCGAAACAAGATCTGTAATCGAAGTAAAATTAACTTATATTAGCTGCAATTAAAGTGCCGATATGTAATGCATCACGATACAGTATATACGATTTATTAAGATTCTGTTAAAAAAAACTATATTATTATAAAGAAGGACCGACTTTATCGGTAATTTGGTATTGTATAAAACTGAGGTTAATACTATATCCATGGTTGTATTATATATTTATTAATTGCAAGTATTTATGAAAGGAACTAATAAAAGGAAAAGAAAAGGAAAAGGAATAAATAAATCGTTTTTGCAGAGGAACATTTTGTGTTACTAATGTGAATAAATAAAACATAGCTACGACTTAAGTCGAGTAGACTAAGAAAAAGCGGTTTATATGAGCAGACTCGTTGCTCAAGTTTGTTTGAATACGACTTGCAAGTTCACTCATAATGTAGTAGAAACATCACTGAGTAAATGAATTACACAAAAAAGGATCAATATTTCATGTACTTTTTTCTTAATTTGATTTTGGAAAAAAGTAATTATGTTTTTTAAAATTTTTAAAGAGTTTGAGAATTCTGTAAATAGGTATTTTGTTTTCATTATTGTATCACTCATATTCTCATTATTGCATACAGTTTCAAAAAAACTGAAAAATTCAAAAATTGAACAAGTTTAGCCTTCTTACTTTCAACTTAACTTAAGTGAAAAATAATACATGTCTTAAAAGTGACATACTCAAGAACATTCAGCATTTTCTTGAATAAGTCGCTTTAGATATAAGTATTATTGTTCACTTTTTTAAGTTTGAATTCGGTTCTATTTTTTTAAAAGATTTTAATTTCATGCTTTTTAGTAATACTGATATTTTATATATAATAGGAAACACTAAAAATACTTTACTGAAAACCGCGTCAAAATCAGTTCTGCCAAACGCGAGATAATCGCGGAAAATGCATACATACATAAAGGTCAAAATCTCGTTCTTTTGAAGTTGGTTAAAAATGGAGATTGGCGGGAGATATGTTAAGGGATGAAAAAGGTAAATGGGAAAATTCTGTAATGGAATGTTGCCCAAGAGATGGTACTAGAACGAGAGGAAGACATTTAAAATTATGGGAAAACGACATTAAAAAGACAGCTGGTCCAGAATGGACTAGGCTAGCTTAGAATAGGGAAAAGTGGAAATCCTTAGTGGGGGCCCTTCTCGGAGAACAAGCTGCCACCGAAGAAAAACGTTTGCCAAAAAAAATCATCAATTCCCTCTCAAAGTAAGACAATCAGTAACATTTAAGTTACTTCAGAACATGGTGCAGTAATAAAGATTTATTTTATTTAATGTAATAACAGCATAGAAATATATAGAAGCATAACGTCTTTGAAATTGCACTCAAAGCAACTTTTGTCAATAAAGAAGCAAGTGTCTTACAGCATATGTAGTAAGACTATTATTCGTATTAAAAGGAAATGATTTATGAAAATGTTCGCTTATGAAATGAGTTACACTTGACCTGGGTGACCCAAGCGAGCAAATGGCAGTTTGGGCTTGTTATCTTTTTCACCCATGTACTGTACTACGTGTACCCTTACGATTGCTTAGACGAGATCGAGAGGTTCACGTCGGCTGACTGTAAAACTGTAATTTTGTTTTAGATTCCGTATAGCAGCGGTGTATTCGAATCAGGACAACAAGCAGGGTAAGAGCAGCGGCCGATTCTACCTACAGCGCGGTGTGACATCCGTCCCCCGCGCTCCCGTCCTCACCACCGCCGTTCCCATGTCCCCACACGCGGTACAGCTCAACTGGACGGTTAGTAGTAGGGCCTTATGGATAATAAAAAAGTAATAGATAGCATCACTTACATTTATTAGTATATGGCTTAACTAAATGAATACAGCTGTCATTGACTTTGCATTTGATACCTGCCAGCTTTTGCGCTGTCACAGCTTTTGCGCCGGGTCGCCATGCTGCCGGCATGTCTGTGTAGCAGTCATAAAGATTGTGTACTTGAAATTTATTTGGTTCCTGAAAGTTATATTAAGGAAGTTACGTGATAGACTCCTAAACAGATCCTACGCTAATTCCCTAGCTAAAACCCTTCTGGAAATATAAAACAAATAATTGCTTTAGTAGAGTAGCAAAGCTCGGTGGTGTAGTGGATAAGCGCCGCGGTCCGTGATCGTTGTTATTAAGCAACTTTCGCAATGGCCGATCATAGGATGGGTGACCAAAATTTTACTATCTCGAGCTCCTCTGTGCTTCGGGAGGCACGTTAAGCCGTTGGTTCCGCCTGCATCTGCAGTCGTTAATACCCACCAATCTGCGCCGAGTGGTGGGTCATGGCCCATTATCTCTGTATTCGATTTTATTTGATTCCATCCATAGGGGATGCTTAACGCCCAGCCTCAGGGACATTAATAGGCTGGAATTGCGAATTACTTAAACTTATATTGTTTTTCTATATGTTTCTTTCTTTGTTAACAGTGGTCGCCTGGTAGCGACGGCATACAAGCAGAAGGATTCTACGTATATTTCAGAGCGTTGACATCGGCTGGCCTGTACGATAAAGCAGCAGTACCCAGTGGCAGCGCTAGAAGCATGGTGTTGTCACACCTTATGCCTGACAACGCTTATGAACTCAAGATACGGTCCTACGTGACCCAAGCCGCTTCTGAGTTCAGCAGCATAAGGGTGAGATTCCATTAGCACTTTGGAGGTAAAGAGATTCGCAGATAAATGATAACAAAAAGGACCGTTATTGAGTAGGAAAAGTTCTTTAGTGAATACTAGTAGCAATTTCAATTTTCTTTGTTTGATTTCAAGTCAATAAGCTTTTCCGAGCAGAAATATTCCAGGGGATAAACCAGCAAAGTGAATTTGACTAATGCGATACGAGTTAATGATCTGATAAATCCAGTCTCCCAAAGCTTAAACCTAATTTCTAACCATTTTTTGTGAAGGATGTGAAAACACTTCGTCTGGCAAACGGATCTACTACGACGACTGAGGCTCCAGTTGAGGACGTGAAGGGCTCCACTCGGGCCCCTGACCCTCTGGTGACTGCTGGTGGGGCGTTGGGAGCTGTGGCGTTACTTGTACTGCTCGCTGTCATTCTCTTCTTGTGTCGGAGGGCGAAGCGCCCGCCTGCAGATAGTAAGTGTTTGAGTTTTTGATTAAGTAGCTTAAGCACTCGTAGGAAACCTTAAACATCCGTATAATACAGACCCGAAACCAGTCGGGTCATATGACCTTCGGGTTAATATAGAAAATTTAATTTTCTATATTGACCCGACTGGGAATCGAAACTGGTACCAGGGAACCGGTGTAACAGATATAGCGAAACCGGCGTACGAGTCACTAGGCCTCGGAACAAAAGACTTTTTTCTGTTATATCTTTCAAAACAGTTTATTTTAAAGTGAATCTATGAACTCAATGTAGACATTATATAAATTAAAAGTTTTTGACTCCCAACTAAAAGTCTTTCAATTATTTCAGAGGAAAAAGGTTCCGTGCCAGAGACTGGTAGTGGTAACGGGTACATCCAGGCTAAGGTGCCCATCACTATTACAGCCAATCCCATGCACGCCGAAGTAAGTATAGAATAGCATATTTCTATAAATATATAGAATTCATAACTCATATTTAAGAAATCAAGTTATTTATTAAATTTAATAACTTTTGAAAAGACTGTGTTTGTTAGAAAAATAAAGATATACTTAGTACCTAAATTAATAAAAGAGAATTATGTCTAACATTTAATCTTAGCTTGCTAATATTGACATTTTTTCTCATTAAATGTGAGTCTTAAATGGATGTCCTATGGCAGTGGATAAATAAGGTTATTTTTCTGTTGATTGCTCTAGCTAAATTGTGTCTGATAGCGCTTATATTGTTTTATGAAAGTGTTAATATAAAAAAGTAGAATTATGACCAATACCTAATTAGAATTACGTCGGTTTCTGTTGAGAAAAGTAACAAAATCTCAACTGATTAGTCTGAATAACTTAATTTTTTCCTTTTTAAGGCCTAGTTTTTAAAAAGTCCTAGTTTAGTTATCAAACTGCCATCAATTGTTAATTAAAAAACTAAAATCAGAAACGAAAACCTGTTTAAGTGATGTTTAAGTACAATTTGAGTCATGCCTAACTTTAAATACTCAATTCAGAAATACTCAATTCGTAGTAATACTCGTAGATACTTGGAAATCTATGTTAAATAGCAAAATTTTTTTAGGGAGGCGATGGAGGTGTAGAAATGTCATTTCTTCATAACAATAACTGTGGCAACACTGGAAACAATGACGATACACTACCACATTCCAGAAAGAATGTACCTACGACGCGGCAGTACGTTTGAAAAGGCGTACTAAATATGCAAGTTTTATATGTGTTGCCGTTTATAAAATACTACCAAAATGGTAGATTGCAATTGGCATTCGAGAAATGTGATATAAATAGAAAAGCCATATTTGAAATGTTTACGGACTTATAATATCAGTACAAAATAAAACTTAAGTATAAAAAAAGTTACTTAGTATAAGGTATTGGTAAAAGTCGATTTAATAAAACGTTTAATTTACGAACGTTTAAAAAAAAAACAGATTTTTTTACTTAGCATTTATTAGACAAATAAGGAGCACTGCACATTTGACGGAACATTCGTTGAGTATTCTTATATTTTATACGCCTGATGCGCATCGCCAAAAATAATATTAGATACCTACTTTCAGCAAGACATGACTTTAAAGTATAGGTATGTTATTATGTTTGTAAAAGTGCTGGCTGAATTTTGCAGGAGTAGCAATAAGAATGTCTGAAAGTATAAAGAGTATGGGAATCGGGGCAATTTTCATAGAAAATCGATGCTGGTAAGGTATTCTCTTCACTTGCTCGATTCGTTATCGGGAAAGTAAAACACCACTAATTTGGCGTGTCATAAGTATCTTGACTAGACCTTTTTTATTCAATGCAAGGGATATGCACCTTATGTATTAAATCAGGGTTCTCCAAGTAGGACAGGTTTAAGCGTGGTTGGCCTTGCGTAGACCAGATCTACCAATTCCAATAATGACAGAGCGAGTATTATTTATAATCATAACATGGAAATTGTGGAAAACACAACGCAACTAGGTGTCCGTCGATCAGACTTGCACTCTCTCACATCAGCAGGGTTATATTGTCATTTTAATGTCTACTAGTCTTTCTGGCGATACGCGATCATCGGTCCGCGCATTTTCCGTCAGATATGAGGCAACCTCAAATGCTGTAGCAAGTCTCATTCCATTACATAATTTATCAAACACAATTTAAACGTTTTCCCAAATGTTTAAATTGTGACAAACACTTCTACTTGTATTAGACAAGCTATTCTGAATTTAAATTGCTGCCATAAACCGTCATATTTTCTAAAACTAGATGTATCGGTTATATTAATGAGGAAGTACTTAAAAAAAAGAAAGCACTACAAAAGCACCTCCACTAGATGGCGACTCTAGTAAGAGTTGATTTTTGCAGGAAAGGATTGGACCAAAGATAGTCATTGCCGTTACTTTTAACTAATATTCATATTAAAAAACTGAAATTTGCAGCACATGTGACATTTTTTTAAGTATCATTGCAAAGGTGACGCCATGAATATTGGTCAGGTCGATACATAAACTATTTCCAGACCATTCAAGATTGGTTGAATGACCTTTTAATATTGGTTGAATGACCTTTCAAGATTGGTTGAATGACCTTTCAAGATTGAGAAGAAAGATTGGACTGCTGACAGTGGATTTGTCAATCTGACAGATCAGTCGGAGCTTAGTTGTGACTTTCAATCAGGAATGGTCTAGATCTGAACAGACCAACACTGGTCTCATGACAATAGATCTGTCAACCTAACAGTTCATTCAGGGCTTGATTTAGATAGATATATCAAGAGCGTTCTAGATCTGGACAGTAATACTGGTCTACTGACAGATCGGCTTCAGATCATTCGAGGCTTCAGTTACACCTTAGAGTCGCGGGAGTGGTCACTCTACACGGCATAGCTTGTCTAGTGGTTTATGTAGAAGTATACATTTTTCTGATTGTTTATTTCACAAGATTTAAAAATTTGTTTTAGATTATAAAAGAAAGCGATAATATTACGAATTTGATATATTATTAACTGGATAACTTTAGATCTGACTGCTAATCTCTTTGACATCTAAAGAAAATTGTCGGATGACGATCTTCATTTACGAATCTCCACTTTCGTATTATCAACATAAATATCTAATTTTGCAATAAGGCAATGTACTTAATATTAATCATTTTGTTATTGATTTTGTTAAAGAAGTTGTTTTGGTTATTATTTCCGATAAATATGTAATTATTTCATTTATTATTATTTATGATATTCTGTAATACTTTCGTTTCTTGAAAGGTTGTGATTGACCTCAGAATTTAAATATTGACATTAATTTATTTATTATCACTTCTTTTACATATTGTACACCTTCTGGTTCATGTGTGAACAAATCACTTTCATTGCCATTTTTTATTAGTAGGTGTATAATTTGTAACGTTAATATAGTGTTTAATGCGTCATTTATGATAATTAATTTAAGAAATTTTAGTATTCAAATATATCTCAAACAAAATAGACTGCAATGTTGATTTGGATGGTTTGGCATGGGGTGTGCCAAGAATAAAATAGCTACTCTGTCTCTTCATCGTTTATTTTTATTTATTTGCAGTTACAAGGAGAAACATTGTATCTCAATTTCAATAAATTGCCACATTTTGAATAATTTAAAAAATAAGTTGTAAAATTCATGTCGTGTAAGTTTTAGCAATAAAAAGATTTTATATACGAATATATATATGGGAGTACACGTCTGCATTTCATTATTGTTTCTTTAGTAACTGTTCAAATTGAGTTACAATGTTTTTCCTTCCATGAATTTAAATTGTGCTTGTGTTATTATAACATATGTGATGTATATAAAAATCATTTATTATTATTCGTGAATTCATTTCTCCTAAAATAAATTGTTGACAACAACGTATAACTTTGTATGGCCGATACGAATTAATAGAAGTATTTATAATACTATAATGTAAACATATTTGGAAATGATCAAAGATGATTCCTATGTAAACGCTTATTATTCTCACTACTGTTATTATTTTAATTAAACAATAATATAGTTACAGTAATAATTTAATTGTAGTATTTTAACAATGCACTCGCTTAATTAACTCGCTTAAAAGACTGAGAACGAAATACGAAGACAGTTTTTCAATTAAACGAAAGACACGACTGTTATTTGCAGTTTTCTGTAAATAGCAAATGTAAAGGGAAATTAATGAGTATTGTAGAATTAAACGTCGTAAGTAAATAAATTAAAAAATATGTTAAGAAATCGTGTTGTGTTTTATTTAAATTATTGTTTTTTAAAGTTATCTTGATTATTCACATGTGAGAGAATTAGATTACGATATGTCTGTAAATGAAACATATTTGAAACAGTTTTATGTGGCGTTTATGTTGTAGTTTTATTGACGTTTCGATGTCTATATGCGAGGCTATTGAAATTGAAAAACAATCGAATTTTAATAGACATGAAAGTTGTAATATACCATCAGCTTGGGATCAGGAATGCAATCGAGATCTCGTTCTTGCGAGATCTCGGACTTTTTAGCGAGATTGATCTCGGTCGAAAAATGGACGAGATCTCGCGAGTTCAATGAGATTGCACACGAGCATTAAAACTATTTATTCTAAGTGTGGCAGCGCGAATTTTTGCGAGTCCAGGGGCGAACACGCGAAGTATTATAATTTTACAGTACTTGTGTTTTCGAAAGGGTCTTCTCTGTGGCTGGTTATCTAGCCAGCACAATAATAAGACGAATAGCAAAGATACTTTGGTCATTTTGTGCTTCTTAAGAAGCTATTTTTAAAATCATTCGTAATAATGACGTGGGAAGTGAACTGAATACGCCTTTTAATTAATTGGTATATATATTGTTAATTTATTCTCTAATTTCTAATAGATCTCTGAGTACACATAGTTTTCTTTCATTGATAATAATCTCAGTTTAATAGTCAATTCAACTAAGTTAATGAGTTTTATTTTAGTTTTTATATTTTTGATATAAAAAACTGTGTATTATAATTAAACATTTGTTTGATATTAGCTGAGAAGGATTGGTTGTTTATTTCATTTCGTATTTAATTAGATACGTCAAAGTTTAGTTTCTTAAAAGAATAGTAACTGGATGACTAAGCTTTACCTGGCACTTTTATAAAATAATAAAATTAACTAAATCGATTTATCGCCTCTGAAAGCCCCTGCATACTTAATGTCATGAAAATTTTTGGAGCCGTTTCCAAGATTATAATACAGTAATTGCTCTTTTAAAGATTTAAAATAAAAAATATATAACTGCGTCAATGTTAAATACATTAAATTTCATTGAAGATAAATGTTAATTTCATAATACCTATAATTCCTATATTTTTTTCTAATTTATTCAAATATAGTGTTTTGAATAAATATTACAGTAAAACAGTAAACACACAAAAGTGCCAATTACGAGATCTCGCGGTATTGATATTCATAAACTCGCGAGATCTCGCCCGAGTCCCAATCTCGCGAGATTGCATTCCCTACTTGAGATCCCAAGTAGGAAATGCAATCTCGCGAGATCAATTGAGAATAAGTCAAATAAAATCTCAATCCAGATCACGCATGGCAAAACCAAAAGAATCAGTTCATTCTGTAAATAATAAATCAAAGGGAGCAATTCACTTTTATTGTCAGAGATTGTTTCGCCAGTTCTTCTCAGACAAGACTCCCTAATTTGGAACTGGTGGTAGATTACGGTAGCCAGAGTAAATAAATAAGTCAAATCTATTTTTAAAATAATTTAATACAATAAATGTAAAATTTGGTATTGTGAATGTGTCCAATAGTATTATTTTAAAGGCAGCTATACTCATAATTAAAAATACAATCAACCCTTTAGTCTTATGTGAACATGGAACCTATAAAGGATCCGAACGTTGTGAAATCCGAACGAAATAAAACTAAGTACAAACGCGATGAAACCGTTTAACCGTTCGCGCACTATCCATAAATGAAACAATCATTTATGGATAGTGCGCGAGAAAATAGTAGAAATTAATATACAACAAGTCTTTAAAATACATAAATGCATTAATTATTATAGTTGGGTAGCGATGACTTGAAGTAAGTAACGTTCCAAAGTTTATTTCATTGAAATATAAAAAGGTATACAATTCTGTAAAATTTTTCCACTTGATTTTGTAAACCTTAATGATTTGTGAGTCGAGTTTAAAATCAATTGGTGGAATTTGATATATTTTGGTAAACTGACATGTAACATAATTTTGATTTTCTAATCTTATAAAAGTTAGGCAAGGAATTGGGCTAAGATAGTACGGATATCTGTAAATAAGTGAAGTACTAATATATGTCACTAGCTAGCCCTAAAAGTGACAGGATGTTAGCCTACATAAAGCTCTCGCCGTATACAAATCATATTTAAAAAGGATCGCTGCATAATAGGTATATAAAAGTTATTTTAAAATCATCACAAGAATTCCAAGTAGTGGTATTACAAATGTCTTGAACACAAATAGCCACTTTACAGTGGCTCGTGACTACAATCTCGGCTGACTCGAGCACAACTAGTACAAATATTTGTTGAGATTTACAACCGCGAATGCCGGGGACATGTGTAAAATATGTAAGTTAATGGATCTGCTCTAGTCGAGACTGGGCCTGCCTGGGGCCACTTCACAGTAGCGACAAACTATGCGCGACAATTGATAGCGCGACAAAAGATTGAAACGACAGTATACGCACAATACTAACCTATATGTATGATGCGAACAGAACATATCTATGTACTTACATTCGGGTCATAATTTAACTAATATTATCGTAATGATGGCGCTCTAGTTACTACATCATAAAATAATAAGCGTATATGTGTTACCAATAAGTTGTTGATGAAACTTACTAATGACAACAAAATAATAAATAAAAATTATTATGTTTATTATTAATTAGTCCGCAATTAGCGGAGAAATTATTAAAATTATCATTATCTTGTTCTTTACTCACAGCTTCAAGCTAGTGTTTCCTATAACACCGTTCGCGGACCAAGTTATTTCAGTATATTATTATAATTGTCGTAATATCCTGCCGTTGTCTTTAAACCATTTACGATGTGTATGTGACTTTGTTCAACTCTTTTGAATTAAAAAAAAATACGTAAATTCGAGCAGACAAACAAGAAAACAGTCAATAATACAGTGGAGAGTGCAAGCCTTGTCTGTCATTCTCCAATACCGATGATGTTGCACTAATAAGGAGATGTCTCACTAATGCTTTTCGATCAAATATGCTGTCGCGCACGTAATGACGCTTCAATTTTCTGTCGCCTTATCGTTTCTCGCTACTATGAAACGGACCCAGCTCGGCTGCGGTGGCGGCGGCGATTCGTCAAGCGTAAACTGAAACAATTTCATATTCAACACGAACTAAGGAACAGCGGTTTGCTTCCGTAAAGTTAGAAAGTTGTATGTTGGTATATTGATCGTTAAACTGTACGAGCTCAATGGTGTAGCGGTTACCGCGTTTGGTCTGCTATTGTGGATGTTAAGAAACTTTCTCAATGGCTTATAGTTAGTTGGATGACCAAAATAGATTATATTTCGCGACGTTTTAGATTTAGTTTCTATATAATTCGTAATTATTTTGATACGTAACTTGCGTATCAGGAAGTACGCGTAATGAATTTTTTAACCGATTTCAAAAAAGAAAGAGGTTCTCAATTTGACTGTATTTTTTTTCTTCTTTGTTACCTTAACTTTTTACTGGGTGGATCGATTTTGAGGATTCTTTCTTTATTTGAAAGCTAGTGCTAGTCGTGTGGTCTCATTTTTTTTTGAAATTTGGTCCAGATCTGTTAATGGTATCTTTTAAAAAAAACCATATGTCTTAAATTTGCATTAAGTATGCGTGATGTTTGTTACCTCCAAACTCAAAATATCACTAAATTAAATGTAATAAAAACTTAAAAATAATATAGAACTGGTTTCAAATTTAAGAAAGTGAAAAATAACACTCATTTTAAAAGCGGTTAAATGTTTTAAGAAACATTGAAGGAGGATGTATGTCAATTTGAAGTCGGTTCCATTTTTTTTAAGTTTCCCTGGGTAAAAAAGGACAGTTAATATGCATTACCGTTTGAATGACGAAGAGAATCCACTTGGCTTTAAAAAGGACGTGTGCCAGTGTTACTTTAAATCGTGATTAAAAAGAGTGGCAGGTGGGAGTCGCCCTGTCACTTCGGGGTGTATTTTCTATTCCGCCTGTCATGTTTTTTAAAACGTCGTTGATTTATGCTAAAGTATTCATGGTAATTAGTGAGGGAAGCTAATTTCCATTAGCCGTTCTCTTGTTGTTTGCTATAATAGAATTCTTAGTTAGCGCTCTACTCAATTACTCGTAACACGTACTTCTGCTATAATTAAAATAAGAAAAGGGAGCACCGATATAGAAAAACAATTACTTAACGAAGGGAATAATTACTTAACTTTCGGAAGGTCCAATTCTTTTGTATGTTGAGAGATCAGTGATATGCTAAAGAAATTTACTAATTATAATCTTCAATTACAGTAAATAGTCGAAAAGCTTTTCGTCTACTACATTTCTATTAATTTAGGATCTTATTTATTACCACAGTCTATTTTACTATACCCAATATTACTATGGAATAATTACATTGTTTAGTACACTTTGATAATATCTAGCAATTAGGTGATGCTTAAGAAAAATATTATAAGTGAGAGTTATGGTACTATTTACTTCTTTTAGATAGGACATCAAGCATATTGTTTGTGGTAGCCTTCTAATAACCTACAAGTAGTCAAGTAGACTTGTTATCTTTGAAAAACGATGATATCTGCTGGATTCAGAAAACGTCTAATAAAACACACACCATTTTTAGAAATGTTAATACTTATAGAATACTTATTTCATAATCCTAATAATTATTCAGTGGAACTTTGCTTTAGTTATATTTAAAATTATTCGGATTGGATATCGAGTAAGGTAACAATTTCGTATTGTGGTCGGTCCAATTTAGGAAATGGTTTTGTCCAAGTTGTTTTCACCGCAGTTGCTTAAGCTTCGCGATTGTTTTGCCCGTTTTGACCAGCTTTATGAATAAAAAAATGATTGTACTGTCTTTTTATTTAGGGTTTATTTTTAGAGTGTTATACTTGTTAATAATACGCGATTTTGTAGGAGTCTGAGTAATGTTTTCAGCAACTAGCACGAAAATATATTTAGGATTAGAGGGTTATAGCACTTAATATTTG